ACATATATCAGAAACAAGATAGGACCGAGTACAGAGCCCTGTGGGACTCCACTGGTGACTTCACGCCAATCCGAGGTCTCACCCCTCACCGTAACTCTCTGCTTCCTAGGTAGGAAGTACCTAAGAAGATACTCCCTTATCCACTGGAGCACCTTTCCAGCTACACCTGCCTGACTCTCCAGCTTATGTACCAGCCTCTTATGCGTTACTGTGTCAAAGGCTTTCCGACAATCCAAGAAAATGTAGTCCGCCCAGCCTTCTCTTTCTTGCTCAATCTTTGTCACTTGATCGTAGAATTCTATTAAGCCAGTCAGGCAAGATTTACCCTCCCTGACTCCATGTTGTCGATTTGTCACGAAGTCTCTTCTCTCCAGATGTGTTACTAGGTTTTTTCTCACGATCTTCTCCATCACCTTGCATGGTATACAAGTCAAGGACACTGGCCTGTGGTTCAGTGCCTCTTGCCTGTTGCCCTTTTTGTATATTGGGACCACGTTCGCCGTCTTCCATATTTCTGGTAGGTCTCCCTTCTCCAGTGACCTACTATTCACTATGGAGAGTGGCAAGCAAAGTGCCTCTGCACACTCTTTCAGTACTCATGGTGAGATCCCGTCTAGACCAACAGCCTTTCTAACATCAAGATCCAGCAGGTGTCTCTTGACCTTCTCACTCGTAATTTCGAACCCTTCCAAGGCCGCCTGGTTTACTTCCCTTTCTCCTAGCACAGTGACCTCACCTTGTTCTATTGTGAAGACCTCCTGGAACCTCTTGTTGAGTTCTTCACACAACTCTTTGTCATTCTCTGTATACCTGTCCTCGCCTGTTCTAAGTTTCATTACCTGTTCTTTCACTCTTGTTTTCCTCCTGATGTGACTATGGAGTAGCTTTGGTTCGGTCTTGGCTTTGTTTGCTATATCATTTTCATAATTTTTCTCTGCTTCTCTTATCACCCTAACATACTCATTCCTGGTTCTCTGGTATCTCTCTCTGCTTTCTGGTGTTCTGTTATTATGGAAATTCCTCCACGCCCTTTTGTTCAGTACCTTTGCTTCCATACATGCCCTATAATACCATGGATTCTTCTTTTGCTTCTCGGATTTTTCCCTTTGGGACGGGATGAACCTGTTTACTGCCTCCTGACACTTTTGGGTGACATAGTTCATCATATCTTGTACAGACTTTGCTCTGAGGTCTGTGTCCCAAGGTATTTCCCTCAAGAAACGTCTCATCTCATATTTCCCCTTTCGGTAAGTCAGCCTTTTGTTTCCTAGTTCTTTTTTGGGGAGATAATTCCTAGCTCTACCAGGTACTCAAAGTTTAATATAATGTGGTCACTAATTCCCAAGGGCGCTTCCATCTTGACTTCCCTTATATCTCACTCATTTAGGGTAAATATCAGATCGAGCATGGCTGGTTCATCTCTCTCATTCTTGTTGGTTCCTTAATGTGCTTGTGTGTGATGTTCCTTGTGTATGTGTGCGTGTGTGTGTGTGTGTGTGTGTGTGTGTGTGTGTGTGTGTGTGTGTGTGTGTGTGTGTGTGTGTGTGTGTGTGTGTGTGTGTGTGTGTGTGTGTGTGTGGACCCCACCCAGGTATCCCTCCCACCTGCTCCCTCTCCCGCTCCTTCATATCCCAGCCTAAGTATCACAATAGGTGGGGCAACAAAGGAACACAAAAATGCTTAATTAAAACAGCAGCGCCCTGCTGGCCAGCCCACTAACCCTGTACCGTCAGCTCCGGGGCCTCAGTACATAAACATAAAGTATACCTCGTCCGGTGTGTGTGTGTGTGTGTGTGTGTGTGTGTGTGTGTGTGTGTGTGTGTGTGTGTGCGCGCGCGCGCGCGTGTGTGTGTGTTCCGAAGGCGACCAGACTTTTCACATGTACGGCTGCAGACCGCACCTGTCAGGTGAGGAAGCCATGTCAAGGGGGCGTGGTCATGACCCGTGACCACGCCCCCTTCCACTCCGTGTACCCCTGGCCAATCGTTGGTTCCGTTCTCCTCGGCACTAGGCCAGTACGCTAATTACGTTTCCACCACTAGGCCAGGTTAACTCATCCGCGAAGATCTTTAATACGGCATACTAAAAGAGACTACTAAAGCCTTAACAAAGAGTCCGGCCTTGTCAATCCCGGCCCCCGACCAGTACTTCCCAGGCTCTTCACGTACCTGTCATGGCCTTCCTGGACTTGTCACGCCGCGTGCTGTCATTTCCCTCCAGTTCCAAATTTAAATATTTGTAAATATTTAAATATATTCAAATCTCCTACCTCCCCACGCCCTCCCCTACCTCCCCACGACCTCTCCTACCTCCCCACGCCCTCTCCTACCTCCCCACGCCCCCTCCTACCTCCCCACGCCCTCTCCTACCTCCCCACGCCCTCTCCTACCTTCCCACGCCCACAGTTCGGCACGCCAAGGCGCGCCTCTTCATGCTAAATAGATGCTCGTCGCCTGTTCTTACCTCCGATGGAAGTGGACCAGAAAATTACATTTCCATCCTAATTTTTTCTTCCTGGCTCTCCCACTGCTGGATGTTCTGCCGGGCGGGATGGATCCATAAGTGCGGTAAGTAGCGGACCCGGGCAGCACGCGAGGGGCCTCGGGCAGCCCGCGAGGAGGCCCCGGGCAGCCCGCGAGGAGGCCCCGAGCAGCGCGTGAGGAGGTCCCGTGCAGCGCGCGAGGAGGCCCCGAGCAGCGAGCGAGAAGGCCCCAGGCAGCGCGAGAGGAGGCCCCGGGCAGCCCGCGAGGAGGCCCCGGGCAGCCCGCGAGGAGGCCCCGGGCAGCGCGCGAGGAGGTCCCGTGCAGCGCGCGAGGAGGCCCCGTGCAGCGAGCGAGGAGGCCCCGAGCAGCGAGCGAGAAGGCCCCAGGCAGCGCAAGAGGAGGCCCCGGGCAGCGAGCGAGGAGGCCCTGAGCAGCACGCGAGGAGGCCCCGTGCAGCGCGCGAGGAGGCCCCGTGCAGCGAGCGAGAAGGCCCCGGGCAGCGCGCGAGGAGGCCCCGAGCAGCGCGCGAGGAGGCCCCGAGTAGCGCGCGAGAAAGCCCAGAGCAGCGCGCGAGGAGGCCCCGAGCAGCGCGCGAGGAGGCCCCGGGCAGCGCGCGAGGAGGCCCCGTGCAGCGAGCGAGGAGGCCCCGTGCAGCGAGCGAGGAGGCCCCAGGCAACGCGCGAAGAGGCCCTGAGCAGAGCGCGAGGAGGCCCCAGGCAGCGCGCGACGAGGCCCTGGGCAGTGAGCGAGGAGGCCCTGTGCAGCGCGAGGAGGCCCCGGGCAGCGCGCGAGGAGGCCACAGGCAGCGCGCGAGGAGGCCCCGGGCAGCACACGAGGAGGCCCCGGGCAGCACGCGAGGGGCCCTGGGCAGCGTGCAAGGAGGCCCTGGGCAGCGTGCAAGGAAGCCCCGAGCAGAACGCGAGGAGGCCCCGGGCAGCGTGCGAGGAGGCCCCGGGCAGCGCGCTAGAAGGCCCCGAGCACCGCGCGAGGAGGCCCCGGGCAGGGTGCAAGGAGGCCCCGGGCAGCGTGCCAGGAGGCCCCGAGCAGCGCGCGAGGAGGCCCCGAACAGCGCACGAGGAGGCCCCGTGCAGTGCACAAGGAGGCCCCGGGCAGTGAGCGAGGAGGCCCCGGGCAGTGAGCGAGGAGGCCCCGTGCAGCGCGAGGAGGCCCCGGGCAGCGAGCGAGGAGGCCTTGGGCAACGCACAAGGAGGCCCTGGGCAGCGAGCGAGGAGGCCCCGTGCAGCGCACGAGGAGGCCCCGGGCAGCGCGCGAGGAGGCCCCGGGCAGCGCACGAGGAGGCCCTGGGCAGCGCACGAGGAGGCCCCGGGCAGCGCGCTAGATGGCCCCGTGCAGCGCGCGAGGAGGCCCCAGGCAGTGAGCGAGGAGGCCTCGAGCACCGTTAGGAGGCCCCGGGCAGCGCGCGAGGAGGCCTCGGGCAGTGAGCGAGGAGGCCTCGGGCAGCGCGCGAGGAGGCCCCGGGCAGCGAGCGAGGAGGCCCCAGGCAGCGCGCTAGGAGGCCCCGGGTAGCGCACGAGGAGGCCCCGTGCGGCGTGCGAGGAGGCCTCGGGCAACACGCAAGGAGGCCCCGGGCAGCGTGCGAGGAGGCTCCGGGCAGTGAGCGAGGAGGCCCCGGGCAGCGCGCTAGGAGGCCCTGGGCAGCGTGTGAGGAGGCCCCAAGCAGCGCACGAGGAGGCCCCGTGCAGCAAGCGAGGAGGCCCCGGGCAGCGAGCGAGGAGTCCCCGGACAGCGAGCGAGGAGGCTCCAGGCAGCGAGCGAGGAGGCCCCAGGCAGCGTGCGAGGAGGCCCCGGGCAGCGTGCGAGGAGGCTCCGGGCAGTGTGCGAGGAGGCCCCGGGCAGCGAGCGAGGAGGCCCCGGGCAGTGTGCGAGTAGGCCCCGGGCAGCGTGCGAGGAGGCCCCGGGCAGTGTGCGAGGAGGCCCCGGGCAGTGTGCGAGGAGGCTCTGGGCAGCGCGCCAAAAGGCCCCGGGCAGCGCGCGAGGAGGCCCCGGGCAGCGAGCGAGGAGGCCCTGGGCAGCGTGCGAGGAGGCTCTGGGCAGCGCGCCAAAAGGCCCCGGGCAGCGCGCGAGGAGGCCCCGGGCAGCGCGTGAGGAGGCCCCGGGCAGCGCGTGAGGAGGCCCCGGGCAGCGAGCGAGGAGGCCCCGGGCAGCGCGCGCGGAGGCCCCGGGCAGCGAGCGAGAAGGCTCTGGGCAGCGCGCCAAAAGGCCCCGGGCAGCGCGCGAGGAGACCCCGTGCAGCGCACTAGGAGGCCCCGGGCAGCGAGCAAGGAGGCCCCGGGCAGCGGGCGAGGAGGCCCCGTGCAGCGTGCTAGGAGGCCCCGGGCAGCGAGCAAGGAGGCCCCGGGCAGCACGCGAGGAGGCCCCGGGCAGGGCACGAGGAGGCCCCGGGCAGCGCACAAGGAGGCCTCGGGCAGCGCACGAGGAGGCCCCGGGCAGCGAGCAAGGAGGCCCCGGGCAGCGCACAAGGAGGCCCCGGGCAGCGCACAAGGAGGCCCCGGGCAGCGCACGAGGAGGCCCCGGGCAGCGTGCGAGGAGGCCCCGGGCACCTCCTGCCTCTTGGTATCCCTGGAGGTACTAGGAGATATCCATATCAGGACCCCTAGCATGGGTACATTGATTATCTTGCCTCTTGGCACCGAGATTAGTACCGGCGTCCTGCAGCGACGGAAGCCTTTCAGGCAGGTCTTTAATCCTAATTTTCCCTGGAATACGACCCGCCAAATTGTCTAACATCCAGGTACCTATTCACTACTAGGTGAACAGAGGCTATAGTTAAGGTTTGGGGCCCGGTCAATCCTCCCCGGCAAGGATACGAACGCATGTCAAAGCTGTCGCGAAGAACCGAGCGAGTGTCTTACCACTGCGCCACAGAGACTGCAAAGACAATAGAGACAGGGTGTCTCTCCTAACTAAAAAAAAAAAATATTACTAACAGAAAAACACTCTATTAAGTTAGTCTTTGCTACGATTACTGCGGCTTTTTCAGCCAACGTCCACACATTGTCCCAGTCACGGTTTTTATTTTCGTTGGGTAAAGTTACAGCTGTGAGAGTGACACTGAACGCATCCCTCGACATCCAAGCAACAGTCTGGTGGACTAAACTCTCACAAGTCAAGCCTGGCCTCGGGCCGGGCTTTGGGAGTAGAACTCCCAGAACCCCATCAACCAGGTATCAAGCAGGTACAGGGATAAGGCGGACATCAAGGTAGAACAGATCAATCATAATCAGGGATTAGGTGACAGTCAGGATGAATGATCTGGAAGTCAAGATTGGGAAAGACGAAAGTCCAACCAAGAGCCTAAGATACACACACCAAAGCACAAGATGGCTCAGAGACCCGGATTTCATAAATGCCGTATTCTATAGCCTTAATTCAACTTAGGAACTTGTCGACTTGCTGCTAGAGTAGCTGGCGTCTGGTGAGAGATCTTCTCTGGATGTTGAGGCGCTGCCCACCAACGTGCCCACCAACGTGCCCACCAACGTGCCCACCAACGTGCCCACCAACGTGCCCAACAACGTGCCCACCAACGTGCCTACCAACGTGCCCAACAGCGTGCCCACCAACGTGCCAACCAACGTGCCCACCAACGTGCGCAAGAACGTGCCTACCAACGTGCCCACCAACGTGCCCAACAACGTGCCCACCAACGTGCCCACCAACGTGCCCAACAACGTGCCCACCAACGTGCCCAACAACGTACCCAGCAACGTGCCCAACAACGTGCCCACCAACGTGCCCAACAACGTGCCCACCAACGTGCCCAACAACGTACCCAGCAACGTGCCCAACAACGTGCCCACCAACGTGCCCAACAACGTGCCCAACAACGTGCCCATTAATGAGATAAAAGGAATGATGACGGGCAGAGTTTATTGGGACTCAGTTTGCACTCCTTTTGACATGCCAGGACGCAGACTAAGACCATTGCCCGAAGCATGTACTACAGACACCTGTCCTGACCCCATAGTAGTAGTAAGCATCCACCAGTCTCAGGAGACTATGGAGTTGCGCTCTGGTTGTCGGTCTGGAGTGGCCTCTCCAGGGCGCAAAGCCTGGATAGGTTGATATGGAGAAGCTGTTACCCATGCAGCAGGTTCCCAGTACATTATACTCCTTTATGGTATAATGTATAAACAAGTGGATGATGGTGTTACTGTGGGTTGCCAACTCGCTGTCCAATTCAATTTCTTTCTTTATTGTGCACCCCATACCCATCCCGTGGGCGGCGGTGGGAAGGGTTACAGAGGCACATAATGGGTTCAGGAACTGAACCCCAGAGTTCGTTTAGCTAAGCATGTACACATACTCATACATACATGTACATATATATATACATATATACATACACATACATATTCAATCACCTACACAAATACACACATCAATAATCTTTTGTATCACAAGTGATTCAACAAGAGGCTCACAACAGTCACTATACAAGGCACTTTACATCTATGGTGAGTCACACAGTTACTAGTCTTGCTGCACACCCACCCAACTGGGCGGCAGCTTTACAGTCATGTACTCCACACCCACCCAACTGGGCGGCAGCTTTACAGTCATGTGCTTCACACCCACCCAACTGGGCGGCAGCGTTACAGTCATATGCTCCACACGCACCCAACTGGGCGGCAGCTTTACAGTCATGTGCTCCACACCCTCCCAACTGGGCGGCAGCTTTACAGTCATGTGATCCACACCCACCCAACTGGGCGGCAGCTTTACAGTCATGTGCTCCACACCCACCCAACTGGGCGGCAGCTTTACAGTCATGTGCTCCACACCCACCCAACTGGGCGGCGGCTTTACAGTCATGTGCTTCACACCCACCCAACTGGGCGGCAGCTTTACAGTCATGTGCTCCACACCCACCCAACTGGGCGGCGGCTTTACAGTCATGTGCTCCACACCCACCCAACTGGGCGGCAGCTTTACAGTCATGTGCTCCACACTCACCCAACTGGGCGGCAGCTTTACAGTCATGTGCTCCACACCCACCCAACTGGGCGGCAGCTTTACAGTCATGTGCTCCACACCCACCCAACTGGGCGGCAGCTTTACAGTCATGTGCTCCACACCCACCCAACTGGGCGGCAGCTTTACAGTCATGTGCTCCACACCCACCTAACTGGGCGGCAGCTTTACAGTCATGTGCTCCACACCCACCCAACTGGGCGGCAGCTTTACAGTCATGTGCTCCACACCCACCCAACTGGGCGGCAGCTTTACAGTCATGTGCTCCACACCCACCCAACTGGGCGGCAGCTTTACAGTCATGTGCTCCACACCCACCCAACTGGGCGGCAGCTTTACAGTCATGTGCAGGCTGCACCTACAGTAAGCAAATTTTGGAAACTCGCTGTCCATTTGGAAAACTTTCATGTGCTCGCCATAGAGGAAATGTTCTAGTTCAGTTAATCCTTCAACCTGATATGTAATGCAGATATGTTAAAAAAAATTTGCTTTAAAAGTTTTCTTCAGCAAAACATATACAAAGAAGAATGAATTGCAAGATGGAATATCCTTTGTGTCAGCTCTCAGTCACAGATACTAATATTTAATAAGCTTAATTCCCGATATATTAAATGTACCACAAGGAATTCTATCCCTTTATGTTTATTTAAACAATTATGCATTATTCAAGCATGCTGAAGTAGAAGTGCCTTCATTGCAAGATGATAAGTATTGGAAGAGCGGATAATGCAGGCGGACCATGCAACACAACTGCTGGTTATATCCAACCAAGCACACACACACACACACACACACTCACACTCTCACACACACACACACACACACACATACACACACACACACACACACACTCACACACACACACACACACACACACGACGGACCGAGACGTCGTCGTCCCTTCACTTTCTAGTGTGTGGTTTGGTCGACATATTTCAGCCACGTTATTGTGACTTCTTGTCTGCATACAACCTATGCTTATGAGAATGTCTGTGTTTGTCGGTAATGACTGATTGATGATGATTAAGCCCCTCCCCCCAAGAGGTGACACGGGCATGAATAACCCATAATTGTCGGTAATAGAAGGGGTTCTAATAAATACTCTGAATATTCCATTCACCAGGGCTCTAGGAGACTCGAACCGTGCACCCATCGTGTGTGAGGCCCAAGCTCTATCGACCGAGCTATTGAGTGACCTTAATAAAGGAAGTTTCCAGAAGGAGCATCCTGCTGCCAAACTGGAATTTTCGACTTTCCCTGACCACTACTACTGAAGCTCGGAGGAATTAGTGTGGATTATTTCCACGGAAGTGGATGACAATTTATACTCTGAATAATTTTATTGGTAACAAAAGCTTTACTTCACAGGATAGCTTTACTAGGAAAATGATTCTCAGTGAATTAAAATTAGATCTCAATAAATGGATAAATGAAAGCTGTCCCATTAGCCACATTCCTTGGGGGTGTGGAGAGGGCTACGAGAGAGACCAGCCAGATGAACACCTCTAGTAATAACAACTCCAGTCCCCAGAACAGCAGGATTACAGGAAGGACACGTGACCATATTTCTGTAGAAGACATTACCGCAGGGACATCGCCAGTCGGGGACAGAGGTGACCTGATCAGGAGGTCAAGAAGAAGAATAAAAAGACTGGACCCAGGATAGCTGCCTTACGGGCTCACCATAGCCCGTGCTACATGGACATTTCGTTCTGAGTAGCTAAATCCAAAACAACAGGATAGCAGCCTCATTAGCCGTCGGGATGCAAGTCTGGTCCTAACCACACACTCAGACCTTCACAATACACTCAGTAGAGTGCGAAAGATTTGGCGTAAATTCCTTACATAAATCTTACAAAGACACAAGTGTGGCTTTTTTTATCCTATGTTATTATGTCTATTAAGTACTGGTAATGTCTTCTCGTAAAGATTAATGTGCGAAATGTAGTGGATTATCTTACAGACTTTATCCCAGAAGTGGAGTTGGAATACCTTCACGACTTTCACGAGTTAAACTACGATTACCCGCCATCTTGGGGGAATTACAGAGATTTAGAGTGCTATGTTATGGAACTTTTGCCATAAGGGCAAAATATATGCCTTCACTCTTATAAATTGAAGCACTTCCTGGAACTCAGATATATAAACAAAGTTCTATATTTTTATCAGAATCCATTGATAAGTCATATATATATATATATATATATATATATATATATATATATATATATATATATATATATATATATATATATATATATATATATATATATATGCGGAAAAAACACAGAGAAATGTGTAAGGAAGATGAATAATTCGGCCTGTTAAAGCCGTTGTCAACACCAGACTGACTAGAGGAAAGAGAGGGAGGGTACAGGCCAACACCTGGAGCCTGACCAACCCATCTCTAGGGAAAGAATTAACCAGAAACAGGTATAGCTTAGCTTAGAATGGTCAAAAAGAATTAAGCGGTCAGAGAATAATGATGAAAGATTAAAGCCTCATGAACACACAATATATGAATATAAAATTGTAATGAGACATTGTAACCCTCCCTATCAGAGTTTTTTCTTAAACTGTTGTGCAATATTATAACTTAAAAATGGTTCAAGTTTGTACATACCAGTACTAACATTAAGAAGATTTGGACACTGATTAGAGCAGACTCAATCAAATTCCGTTTTCGTGGAACGGAATTTGATTGAGTTCCTCACAAATTGAAAATTTGTGACGAACACAAATCTTTGTGTTCCTCACCTGTGCCCCAAAGAATGAGGTGATTTGATAAAATGCTATGCCCAAGATTACCATCCGAGTGCCGGCGGGGAAGTGGTTCAAATAGCTTCGGCTATCACTTCCTTTTGTCCGGTCGTGATGGTCAAGCGGATTAAGGCATCCTGTAGTTACCAGTTGCGTTGCTCCTGGGAGTATGGGTTCGAGTCAATTCTGGGGTGTGAGTTTTCAGTCGCATATAGTCCTGGGGACCATTCAGGCTTGTTCGCATATTATATATATATATATATATATATATATATATATATATATATATATATATATATATATAATATATTATATATATATATATATATATGTCAACACCAGCAATCAACAGCCAATTAATGCACAACTATATTCTACCCACTTCAAGACTCCGTACCAATATAGAAGCATCAAGAGGAAGTATGGACCAATAGGCTCTTTGCAGTTACTTCCATTCTTCCCACTCATTTATCCAATTTATACCCATTGCTCCGTGTTCTGTCTTGTGTTGGGCAAAAGTTTGTTCACCTCATCCAAAACTGTAGCAACATATCACCTCTCCCAAATGCGAGTATATAAGATAAGCTGTTCAATGTTAGCAGCAAGTAAAACTCTGTTAAGAGTTTTCAGGTTACAGTTGTGTGTGTGTAAACAAAAGTCTTTGAAAATGTAATAAATTATTACGAAACGCGTTCAAGCGTCGCGTCAGACTAGAAATAAAATTGAATTTTGGAGAATTGATTTTTCAATTACCATCGACAGTAAAAAGAAACTTAAGAAATATTGAGAAAATTCGTGTTAGAATTATTAATCCTACTTTTTCGGTCATATTTAACAACATATGTTTACAAGAGAGATTGCTACCAAAATATATATATATATATATATATATATATATATATATATATATATATATATATATATATATATATATATATATATATATATATATATGTGTGTTTACTAGTTGTGTGTTTACTAGTTGTGTTTTTGCGGGGGTTGAGCTTTGCTCTTTCGGCCTCCTCTCAACTGTCAATCAACTGTTTACTAACTACTTTTTTTTTTTTTTCCCCACACCACACACACACACACACACACCCCAGGAAGCAGCCCGTGACAGCTGACTAACTCCCAGGTCAACCTGTCCTCTTAAAAAGAACGTCGCTTTTATCCGTTTGCCCGTATGGCCGAATTTGGACGTAATTTGAAAATGAAAAAAAAATTAAAATAAATTTGGG